GGCAAGTATCCTCTATTGCCCTTGTTGAGCTGGGTCGTGCCCACTTCATCCACATGCTGTAATCGCGAGGCCTCCTTCTCAAGAACAAATTGGTGGAGCGAAGTGCCCAGCTTGTGATAAACGCGCGTACTGTTGAACCTGAACTGCTTCTCATCGTGAGCGCTGAGCGGCAAATCAACATAAGACGGCCTAGACGCGGCTTTGTTCTCCATATTGTGGACTGGGTTCCAGATTGTGACTATGAAGGAAGAAGATCGTGTCTTCTTTAGGCACATTGCTGTGGATATTCGCGCAATCTTTTCTTCAACAACTGAACCTTCAAACGTGTATAGAGCTCTGCGTGATCCGATTGACGAGAGTCAAAGTCATTGAGATACTGCAGATCTGTTACAATTATGTAAGAGTTCCGCCGAGACCTAGGAATGTAATGGTACGAGTGGATTGTCAGTAGTACGGCCACGCTTGGGGTGTGATCTGAGCATTGGAACGGAGCACATGCGCAACACATTCACCAACGCCTGACCTGGGCCTGAAGATCGTGGTGGATGTAGAAAGCAAGGAGGGAGCAGCTCAAGAGCGGAGGGCATTAGCTCCACTAGCTCCAGACCCGCCCAAAAACGTCATAGTCTCAACCAACCAGCGACGACCAGACCAACCAACATAGTACTCGCGAATAGCAGCAACATCTTGAGCAAGACCCTCTCGGTTTTTTGGTCACGTCGCCTCTTTCTATTACGAAATTTTCCACCCTCACAACCAGGAAAGTAGAGATACGCGCAATCCTGCGGTCATGGGCCGCACCGAAAAATCCCAGGGTCTTGCGCCACCCGCCGTGCGCAAAGATATCCGAGCCAAACAAGCGCGACACGTGGTGAACAAAGTAGTTCCTGCAATATTGGCATCAAATGCAAGAGCTAGGCGAGGTGCGGACGGGAGTGAGCTTATTCCGAACCCGGGGCCGAACGGCACGGTGGGGCAGGATAGTAAGAGTAGGGATGGTGCACGTGTTGAGGGTGGTGAGGATACGGGCTATGTGAAGAGGAAGGGTCAAGGGAGGCGGAAGGTCAAAGGTGGGAAAGACGATGTTGAAGAAGAAGATGCGAGGAATGGTGATGTGGGGAGAGATGCTGGCAAAGGAAGAGGAAAGGGAAGAGGCAAGAAACGCAATGATTCTCTCGACGAAGGGCTATCAAATCTCAACTTGAATAGTACTGCAACATCAACACCCGACACATCCAGGAAACCGCGATGCATACGCATGATAACGACGGATGCCCTCACAGCTGCACATATGCTCGCCAACCCCTCATCATACGATGCCAACACGACCACGGTACCAAAGCAGACGTCGAAGAAACAACCAAACCCATGTATCTTGAACATGGCCTCTCCCCTCCGTCCAGGCGGCGGTCTCTTAACAGGCGCGACTTCTGCCGAAGAATCCCTTTGCGCACGCACAACGCTGCTGCCCTCGCTCAAAGAATCCTTCTACCGCCTCCCCGAATACGGCGGCATATACACACACGACGTGCTCGTTTTCCGCTCTGCTCTCCCTCTTGGCGATAGCGCCGGTGAGCTTTCTCCGACTGAGCGCTGGTACGTCGACGTCATCAGCGCGGGGATGTTACGATTTCCTGAATTAGAAGGAGAAGAAGAGGAAGAGAAGAGATTGAGCAAGAAAGATAGGGAGATTGTAGAAAGCAAGATTAAGGGTGTATTGAGGATAGCGGAACAAAAGGGGGTCAAGGCGTTAGTGCTTGGAGCCTGGGGCGTTGGAGCGTATGGGAATCCAGTAAGAGATGTTGCTGAAGCTTTTGCGAAAGTGCTGGGTGGCGGTAGCTCTCATCTTTCATCTGGAGGCAAAAAGAACAACAAGTTACCATCGACTGGTGCTGAGACATTCCCGTCAATCGAGAACATCATCTTTGCTATTCCCCAACGCAAAGTCGCCAACGATTTCGCAGCTGCGTTCGGAGGCAAGATCGAAGTCGAAGAAGGCCCCGGAGCTTCTGGCGACGATAATGACGAAGAAGATGACGAGGAAGATAAGGTAGCGGAAGAGTTGAGGAGCAAGATCCAAGAGATGGACGGCCAGATAAGTAAGGTTTGGAATCCAGATCTGAAAGCAAGGCTGGGCGCTATTCTGGATGGCTTGAAAGCGCAGTTGAGGGAGAGGGAGGGGACGCCTCGAACGGGTAGTGTGGATAATGATGAGCAAGACGAGGACGATGATGAGAATGAGGGAGACACTGAAGACAGCGATGAGGCAGATGCGGATGAAAATGATCAAGATCTCACTGCGCACAACCAAAGGATACCTGGCAAGAGAAGAGATACAGTAGATGACAGCGATGACGACGACGAAGATTAGATGCGCCCGTACGGAGCGGAGTTCTCATGACTGAAGACGAGTTTCAGCATGTTCCTAGTAAGAATACATTGGTGGGTATCTCAAAACGTCTATATGCTCGAACTTTTGTATGTATATAGCAGATTTCAATGCATCAACGCTCAAGCAGTTGCACTGGCAACGCTCGGTTCGTCCAATACAGGTACTGACTTTGTATCCTTGGTGCCGTTTGTGGGTGTCCCCTTGCTGGGCTCATCGTCCTCCAACCCCAGCTTCTTGAGATCCACGGCCAAAGGATCAGACTCGGCTGTGCTTTCTGTAGGGCCCTCGTATCCAGGTGGTGGCAAAGCCCATTCAGGCAAGCCAGTCTCATAATCCCACTTCCCTTCCTCACACCTGTATCTGCGCGCATGCAGGTAGATACCCAACTCGTGCACACCCGGGTCGCTATACAGGTCTGTATCGCACACTTTGCATTTCTCCCCGGTCATTCGCTCCGCTTTCCTCTTGTTGTAGGCATCGACCATCTCGTCGTGGTATGCGACCGCGTCGGCAACTTCTTCCTTGCCCATGCGCGAGAGGCGGGACATGATGTCTTCGTCGTCTTCGTCTTCGGATTGTCCGCGGCCGAGGGCGGGGCCAAACACGCGCTGGTTGGCATATATGGGGTCGTTCGATATGGGATGACCGAGGAACTGGAGGTGGACGCGGAGCTGGTGGGTGCGGCCTGTTACTGGCATGCAGCGCACAATGGAGTAACCGCGGAGTTTCTTCCACGGCTGACCGTTGGGGCCTGTCTCTCCATCCTGCTTCTCGCCATTGTTTCCATCGTCTTTAGGTGGGTAGTATGCCAGCCTCTTGAAGACCGTCTTCGCTTCCTTGCCGTTTGCACGCACGCGGTTCAAACCGAGCTTCGGGCTGATCTGTAAGATAGGCTTCTCGCAGAGGATCTCTCCTTCTGGGAACTCGCCTACCACTCGCGTGATGTACTCCTTCTTGACCGTCCTCCCTCTGATCTGTGCACTCAGCTCCTCTGCCGCCTGCTTGTGCTTGCCAATGAACATGATGCCGCTGGTGAGCCTATCGAGTCGATTACACGGCAACGGGTTCCAGGTATAGCCACGATCGGCCCTCATGATCTCGATGATGGAGTTGAAGTTGTAGCGGCCGGCGGGGTGTACGGGCATGCCGGCGGGTTTGTTGATGACGATCATGTTGTCGTCTTCGTGGACGATGCCGATGGGCTGCGCGGTGCACGGAGGCTCGTGCCGGTGGAGGGTATGCGATATAACATCGCCGTTCTTGACTATCGTCTTCGTGCTCGGCACTGGCTGGCCATTGATGACTACGCGACCCTCTTCTATGGCCTGCTTGTAGTACTCGGCGGGCCGGTCGCGGAATTCGCTAGAGAAGATGTCGAGAATTTCTCTGCCCCGCCATCTCTCCTTGCAGAAGGTGTTGTATGTGAAGTGGTAGGGCGTGACCTTGCGCAGGCCATCTTCGAGGTAGTATGGGCGCGGCCAGGGATCGCAGGGCGTGATTGCGACGGCGGGCGGCTCCTTCCAGGGAAATTTGTCGTCGGGCAGGGGCGGGTATTTGTCGCGCGGGGGCGAGGGCACTAGGGCCATGGAGGGAGAGCCTGTGCGCGTCTTGGGCACAGGCAGGCGGCCCTTGGAGGCGAGGTATGCGAGGATGCGCGGAGAGGGCGCCAGAATCGCGGGGGAGAGGGGTGAGGTGCGTGTGGGAGAAATCCATGCTGCGCAAGCCGAGGCTGATGGGTGACGCAGCCAACTAGCCGGCCATCTTCATGTCCGAGACGCGTCTGTCTCCAACACCAACCACAAGCAGAGACAACATGGCACAGCAGGCGTTGAAGTCGCGTAGACGGGGCGACTACAAGTTTCAACTCGAATACAGGACACGATGGTGCGTTTTCTCGCGCGAGGCCCTTGTCGGTACTGACAGCAGGAAGGAGCGACAATGACATGTACCACCACATGAACAACAGCGTATATTACTATCTGTATGTCTCTCCACTCCTACAAGCAATGCTTACTAATTATGAGCAGATTTGACTCCGTAGTCAACACATACCTCATCCAGCACTGCTCACTGCACCCGCCTACCTCCCCACAGATCGGCCTCGTCGTACATTCGCACTGCGATTACCTCGCCCCTGTCGAGTTCCCCTCCGTCGTAGACCTCGCATTACGAGTCAAAAAGCTCGGCAAGAGTTCCGTCACATACGAGATCGGTGTCTTCGAAAGGGGTCAAGAGGAGGTCAAGGCCGTCGGCGAGTTCATCCACGTTTTCGTCGACCGCGACAGCCGCCGACCTGGAAAGGATGGCATGAGTGACCAGCTCAAGACTGGTCTAGAAAAGCTGCTGGCGGAGAAATCAAAGCTGTGATATACCTTGGCATCAGAGCTGCTGAGCTATGCATACAACAACACCCACAACCCAGCCATGTTGGCTGTATGGGGACCATTCCTACAGTCCTTGGAAGAGAACCGATTACGATTCGCCATCAACCGGAATCACACCAGATATCAGCGAAGAGACACAGGCGGGGTATCGGTTAGCCATACTTCGGCAATGTATACCCGATACTCCAATACTGCATTGCGTTCAGTTGTCTCCAGCACTGGAGATGGCGTTGCAAGACATACCTCCTCACACCAAAGTCCAACAGTTCTTCTCGCATCGTATTGTCTTCCCTTTCATCCTACAGCTCAGATTCTCAGCTTCGACACCTCAAAGAGACAACACCATGTCCACCTCCGCAATCCAAGGCCCAGGCATCCTCTTCGTCCGCTCCCGCATCTCCCCCTCCGCCAACGACATACTCTCCGAGCCCACTTTTCTCGCCTGGTACGACAACGAGCACATCCCTGAAGTAGTCTCTACATCCGGCGTCGACTCTGCTTTCCGCTTCATCGATATCCACAAGTCCTCACCTATTGGCAACGAGCAGAACCCAAAGCCATTCCTAGCATGCTATCCCATGGAAGATCTGGCATTCACGCTAGGCGACGAGTTCAAGAAGATAGGGTTTAAAAGTAGTGCGCTGCCCTGTAGTGGTGTAATCTATGATCTGGCGGATATGGATGTTAGTTACCTGGGTATCGTGGGCAAGACACCAAAGAGAGGAGAGGGAGAAGGAGGTGGGCCGAAGTATGTGATCTCATCGGGTGTCCGACCTGAGAAGCAGCCAGCAGAAGAACAGGTCACTGCGTTCTTCCAAAAGGTATGCTGATCCTGTGCCATGCCCAGTGAGTCCTTTTAGTAGATTCGATACTGACGTTAGTATCCTAGCAAATCTGGACGCTCGAAAAGTCCCCGCAGTATATGCGAACACTGCGCTTCAGACTCCTCTACGCGAGGACTAATGCGCAGTCTCGCGCTCTCAAGGGTTTGCCAACGACAGATGAACCCCATCCCGAGCCGTCAACCTGGATGGCTATGCATGAGTTTGCGGGTGTACCGGACGAAAACTTGGTGAAGACGCTAAGTGATGGTGTGAGCAAGGCTGCTGAAGAGGGTGGTTGGGGCGAGACGGAAATTGAGACGCTGGTTTGGAAACTAGATCGTACGCACGGAGATGGGAAGTTCTTTGAGTAAGACAATGGTAGATTCGAGTTGTTTACGATAAAGTTGTTCTTGTGCGATGCGGATGATGAATGCGTCAGAGATACAAAGCAGTACGTGAAGCGCTACAGATACCCCGTATTTCCCTTCGAACCCATTTCTTCTTTTACGGCACATGATAAATACCACTTAATGCTCATGTGCATGCTCATGATCATGATCATGTCCATCCCCCTCCTTCTCATCCCACGGATGCCCCTCACCAACACCCTCCCAAGGATCGCCCTTCCACGTCATCCAGGTCTGATGGCCCCTAACATTCGCCTCCAACTCCCCACACCTCCTCTGCTCCCAGCTCTCTTTACCAGCTACAACAGCCCAATGTTTCTGCGCCCTGCCCGCCCAGTACTTCGCACGATCCTCGATTCCGAAACTACTCCACGTGTACGCTAGGATCTCTTCGTACTGGGGTAGTTCGGTTAGGAGCCCTTCCTCTTCCAGGTGCTCAATGAGTTTGGGGAGAAGGCCGAGAAGCTGTGGTGAATCTTCTGGGTCGGTAGGTAGAACGGACTTCAGGGCTTTGATTTCGGAGAGGCGGTCATTGGACGCCATTGTTGCGTCGTCGTCTGCGGTGCATAGAGGGCAGATGCAGGTGAAACCGAAGTTTGCTTCTATAGACTTCACGCGACGTCGGCGAGCACGTTTTTCGAAGCCATCTATGGAGTGATTAGATACGTTCTTCTGTTGAGTTCTTCGGCGGGTAGTCACTTACAGCTTCTCGTAATCTCTTCCCCGGGCTTGATGTCTCTGAGAGCGAAGACTTCAAATGAGAGGGTGTAGTCGTCGAAACGCCATAGAGTGTTGGGTCGACAAGCATGATTGATGCGCTGTATTGAAGTTAGCATATGCTTAATAGAAAACTAATCGGTCATGACTTACCGCGGCCTCGGGAATAACTGCCAAAAGCTGGGGCAGCTCGTCAACCCATGGCCATTTCACAGCAATGCCGTTCGTCACGACGATGTCTTCGACGGTGCCATCCACATTAACGTCCAATTTCTTGACCATCTCTCTAGTTTTTGTCGGCAACTGATCGACTGCCTGCTTCAACACGAGCTGTGGCCTCGGCATCTCCGGAATTTCCAGTATCTGCTTAGCGACGAACAGCACAGGAGTCTGCACAATCAAGCTCTCGCCTGGAAAGATCCCGGCGATATCTTTCTTTGCAAACAACCCTTTGCCCTTTTCTCGTGCGTATTTGACCTCCCACATACCGATCTCTTCACCCACTTGGCCTTCCATGCCCCCAATGCTCATGCCAAACGTCTCCATGGTCACGCTAGCCGCGACCTCGGGACTCACAACAAAGCTGATTCCGCGACCGTTGTTGTAGTTGGCATTAGTGTAGGCGCAGAATGTCTGATGAACATCTGATCCTGTGCTCTCGTTCTCTTTACTGGGTAGTACGATGTCTACGCATGTAGGGTGATGCGTCCATGGAAAGGTATCGGAAGTGTAGCCATCCTGAGCAACGGGACAAACCGTTGAGGGTTTGTTGATAAGACCATCCTGAATAACGGGACTGCGCGCAGTGTAGAAAAGTTCCGCTCTGGCAGTCGATGCGCATAGAAGTGCTGCGGAGACAGCGAAATAACTGGGTGAATGCCGACGCCGCGGCCATATTGCTGTGACCATTTTCCAAGCTCTTTTACTCTCTCAACTATCTGTCCTGAATGATGCCGAAGAGAAAAGAAAGATCAAAGAAGCCAGACGTCCACATCTTCGACGTCGGAAGAATTAGTCGCGCGAGATAGGAAGCCACGTTTCACGAGTAATCACGAGTAATGATCTCCGAAACCCCTGTTGCTGAAACGTGCTGGCTGCTTGGCGGTTGCGTTGCGCCTGCATCTAGATTGTCTTGGGGATGCATGAGGCCAGTGAGGTTTGGGGCTGTTACCGTCGTTTGATGAGATAGATGATCCGGCAGAGTGGCTGATGTGGGGATGACTAGCTTCAGCGCCGGGAGAGTCGGTTGAATGGCGCACGTGAGCTGTGAGAACATCGCGCCTTCCTACGCTACATAAGCGAGGTCGTCATCCGACGGATCACGACTTTATCGTATGATATTCATGGTATGCTTTGAATCAATTTACTATGGGTGCGATACTTCCAACGGATCCCATGGCTGGCAGGGGCAACATGCGCACACTGTGAGACTGCACCTTGAAGGCTGCATTTCAACTAGATCGTGGCTTGCGCAGGCCAAATTTACACCAGAGACGATACCGTGCAGCATCTGCCATTCTGAGTAGAGTAAAACTGCTTTCAAGCCTGATACCAATCGTGAACTCTAACAAGCTTCCAAACTGCTTGCGACACCCGAAGCAAACCCACCTAAGTATAAGGCACGAGCTGGAGCGCTGTCCATTCGGAGGAGTCTGAACACGCATTTAGCACCCTCATAATCCACTATGCCATCAAGCGACCCACTTCATGCTCGTATCATAGAGCTCATGGATGTGACCTCTAATCTCACGATCCAAGAGAAAAACCAGCTCGCGAGTAAGTCGTCTAAGCGTTGCGGTCCCCTTCCGCAGACGCCTGCCAAGGTACTACACAAGAACTAACATGACCAGATAACCTACGCTTTCTCATCACCGTTGTTAAAGGGCATGCCGATACCGATCCACTATCTTTGAATCTGGCTCTAGAGTGTAACCGTCAGGGCGGCTTTCGCATGTTCTTCACTCGCGATGACCATTTCATCTTGGGGAGAATCGCGAATACGCGCGACGGGGCATTGGATGGGCTAAGACAGACGGTAGAGGGCTTAATCGATGTATCTAGGACCCGTATTCCTGTTACACTACTGGTTTCCTAAGGCAGCTTACATTCAGAGATAAAAATGCTGAAACACACTCCTGGTTTAATTGGCACTATCAGACGAACCCTATCACATCAATTCCTACAACTCAGTTTCCCTGCAAGCTCGACATATACTACCCCCCGCATCTTGCGCCTGTGATGCTCTACCAAATCCTTCTCCAGCACCATAACAGCGTCGAAATGATTATCGCCGACAGCCTTCGCGATAAATTTCTTCTCTCCCTTCCCATCCACATATAGGCTCGCCTCCACAGACTCTCCGCCTCTACTGCTGATGATCAAGAACTCCTTCTCATCCCTGACCCCGAAATCAGGTTCGTATATGGCACGACCTAACAACTCATTAGTATCGTAAAACTCCGCCAAACTTGGACAAACGGCAAACTCACCAACAGCCATCTTCCCTGCCCTCGCTAGCCAAGCCATAGCGAGCGCCTCTCGCTTATCAGGTACCCTCTCACCCTTCTGCTCCGCTAGATTTCGTATATCCCGCGCCGTCTCCTCATCTTCCTTGTCTCTTTCCCACTCCAGCTCGCCTTTGATTCTTGGTCTGATGTTCAGGCCGCGGTCCATGTCGGAAGAATTCCATGTAAAGTGCTCATGTTTCCAGTCGTTTGCTGCTGTTCTGAAGGAGCGGTGTTCACGGGTGCGAGCGATTTCCGCGGGGTTGTCGACAGCGCGGATATACGTGAGATAGTGGCTAGATGAAGACGGTGGTAAGACTTTGACGGTGATGTGGTATGTTGGTGCGATTAAGGCTGCGCCGTGGAGTTGTGCGGGGCTGGTTGGCATGGTTACGCTTCGGGTGTTGGGAAGTATGCGGCGATTGGAGATGTTGGCATCTGCTCGTAGTCAACAGTAGTTGGATTGGTGTAAGTATTAGAGTCAGAAACTCATAGTAGCCACATCAATAGTCCGCTCAGTCAGTGAATTCCGTTCCTACTAGCTGGCTGGTGAAGTGTCGCAAACGCTATGCAAACGCGGCTTCAGCAATGCACAAGCTCGCACTACAGGCCATGTCTGTTTGACAGCTGAAAAGAGCTTCAAGCATCGTGTAGTTTCACATTCCATATCCCACTTCTTGAAGTTGCGAATCGCGATGCTTGCTTAACAATGATAATTGCGGCGTAGAAAGGATAGGATCATTTTACGCGACGCGTTATGTGTATTTGATAAAGCAAGTTCTTAGTTAAGCACTAGACTGTCTGTAGGGTTGCCTGTTGCGGAAAGATACGTCCTACAGTATCTTGTATAGAGGGTACTCATTCCTCACGGAGTAAAGAAAGTCGTGATGACATATCGTGTAAAGCTGTTGAAAAACGTTCACCAGTGACGATTCTCAGAACCTACGGGTTATACCAGTCCCACGCCGAGCCATCATCTGAACGAGTACTCACGCCATTGGGAAAAGCTACATGGGGCAACTCCTAGTACCTGCCGCCTGGTGGCGGTTGGCCATACTGCTGCTGACCTGGGTATCCACCGGGGCCTCCTTGGGGCGGTCGCTGCTGACCATACTGACCTGGTGGAGGTGCTTGTTGACCGTAGCCTTGTGGAGGTGCGCCGGGTGGAGCACCGTATCCTTGGGGCGGATGCTGACCAGGTGGAGCACCGTAACCCTGGGGTGGCTGCTGTCCATAGCCTTGCGGCGGCTGTTGACCATAGCCCTGGGGTGGCTGTTGGCCGTAACCTGGAGGAGGTGCGCCATACTGGCCGGGTGGTGCGCCGTACCCGCCAGGTGCTGGGTTGCTCTTCTCGTCCTTCGAGTCATAGCTTCGATCAATCGCACCGAGGAGAAGCTTGATGATCCAAAGATCGGGAGTCAAGTCCACGGGAGGGTTGGCACGCATCATCTCTTCCTGTTCGTTCTCGAAGTCTGAGTTTCAATTAGCACAGGTCTGGTCTGGAATATTTGGAACTTACTGGATGTGCAGTCAACCATAGGGCCAACCTCAGGGTCCTCATCAAGCCGACTGAGGAATTGCCTGGCAGTCGTATCGTTTCCTACTTGAGCAAACTCGAAGGCGACAGCGCCACGCCCGTAGGGAGTCGACTGGAGCTGTCTGTAGGTCTCCTTGATGACTTCAAAAATCTTGGCTGAAGATTCTCCCGCCGGCTGCCCATCGGTGATGGCGATGACCAATACCGGCTTCTGCATCTGGCCTGAGCGTGCCTTTGGAATTACTATCTCATTGATGACCTTCTTCTCCATGGAGGTACCCATGGGTGTGAGACCCTTGAAGTTGACGCCACGCATGATCTCTGCGACCTGAGCCTCAGTCGCGACGCCATCTTGGAGAGGTCGGCCCTGTTGGCTGCGAGCGCCCGAAAGATCAGTGTTCATGCAGCGGACAGAGATGCCATCGTTATCGAAGAGAGTTGCAGCAAAAGAGACTCGGTCCAGAATAAGGCGCAAGTCTGTTATACGGCTGCCTTCCTCTTCGAACTGCATGGATCCACTGTCATCTAGTAGGTGTCAGTTTGATCAGCATTCTCGAATTGAACGACTTACCGATGTATAGCACGATGTCGTAAAGTGCTAGCTTAACAATGTCATTGGCAATCTCCTTTTGGATTTTCCATCGCGAGATGACTTGGTTGATCTTGGAGGGGGCTTGTTGGGCAATCTGGTCAAGATTCTGGCAGATCGGAAAGTTCTGGAGGCCCTTCTCTTGAATGCAGGCTTGCAAAAGCTGCTTGTAGCCCGCAATCTCAGCTGGTCCGGCCTGGACCTGTTGGGGAGGGGGCGGGCCGCCGCCATATCCTCCTTGTGGTGGAGGTGCGCCATACTGGCCCTGCGGAGGCTGTCCTGGTGGTCCACCCTAATATCACGTTAGTCTCTGCACAAATCTTCGCGGAAAGTCACTAGCTCTGCGTCTTTGCTCATACGTGGGTTTGAAAATCGAAGAAATCTAAATTAGTACGAACATTCGGCTGGAAAGCGGGCTGGCCGTAAGGTTGGCCATATTGCTGCGGCGCCTGTCCATAAGCGGGTTGCTGTGGTTGACCCCATTGGCTTTGCTGCTGGTAAGGCTGTTGTGGTGGTTGCTGTCCATACGGCGGCGGGACCTGTGGCTGATTCCATTGCGAGGGGGGCGCTTGACCTAGTTGTGGGGACTGTGGGAATGTCGATTGAGAATACGGAGATGAAGGCTGTTGTCCTGGCGGTGGTGGCGGGGGTCTGCTATACCCTGACTGCCCTTGTGGATATGGTGAAGATGCGCCATATTGGGTGGGAGCTGCCGGTTGCGCAAAAGGTGACTGTGGCGGCGCATACGAGCCAGGGCGCGGAGGCATAGGAGGACCAGGCTGTTGTTGTTGCGCATAAGGATTTGGCGCCTGCCCGGCGTTGGGCTGGTAGGCAGTGTAGCTAGATGACATCTTGCTTGATAGAGGCATGTGTGGCTAGGTCCAGGGACAAAGTGTGGCGGGTTGAATCCAGAGTG